ACTAACAACCTCTCTACTTATCATCCACTACTTTGTAAATTCGCTTCTACATCGTTCTTCTTCGGCATATCTTTGTTTGGTTGCTCATCTGCTTTCGAGAAGGGCTTTGTATTTTTTATGAATAGTAGCACAATATTAAACGAAATTTTTCAACTAGTCTAATAATTTGCGACGTTTCCTTTCTCGTGAATTAAGTATCAAAAACAGCTTACATCTATTTTTTTGAAAACTTCTGAATACTTTTAGCTGTCAACCTCCATAATCCCACTACATTTTATATTTAAACTGGCAACCATTGGTATGGTACAAAGCCTCCTTTTACCACCTTCCATAACTGTTTCCTTATTTTTTGTCCTTTCAAAAAATCGTAGCCACATAATGGCTTTACCGCCGGCCTAACACACAGAACCTGAAAGTAGTGCAATCACACAAAGTGACCGCTAAAATGAAAACATTGTATTCTTGTGAATCAAAGTATCAAAACATCTTTTGAATCTGACAAGCGACTGACTACGTCCTCTCCTTTTGCAACTAAACATCCTTCAAGATATCTTCATTTGATCAACTTTCTCTCCTATTTGAAGTTCGCGACGTTCCCTTTTTTTTGTGAATTAAAGTGTCAGGAATAAAGTGTCTTTTGAAATTAAAGGCAGTGTCCGGGCAAAAAGTCGATTTTGAGATTTTGTGCATACCCGGGCCTATTCACTATGCTGAATCCGAAAATCCACATTGGAAAGCGCGAAAACGGCAAAAAGGGGCTCTAACGCAGGAGGGAAATCGGAAGTGGGCGGGGTCCTCCCCACTGTGAATATCGCAGTCCCAGCTTCTGGAGCCATCTTCCCAATTCCTCTAGCGCCCTGAGATCTCCACTGGCCAGGTGCGAATGCATGACTTAAAATCGGAACCGAAAAGATCGCTTTGGAAGCTGGGAGCATAAATTCACAGTATGGAGGACCCCGCCCACCTGCTGATTTCCCTCCCGTGTTAGAGCCGTTTTTCGCCGTTTTCGCGTCTCCAATGTGCATCTTCGGATTCAGTGTAGCGATTAGGCCCGGGTAAGCAAAAAATCTCAAGATCGAGTTTTTGCCCGGACACTGCCTTTAACCAGCGACTGACAAATACTTCCTTTCCTTTTGCAATAAAACTTCCATCATGACATCTTCATTTAATTAGTTTTTGGACAAGGAAGTGATACGGCTTGGTTAATCGAGATCTAATCTCCTTCCGAAAGATCCTTCTACTTCCAATGAGTAGAGTAGCTAACTTGCGCTGATTCAGCAAATTATTATTTTTTCCTCATATAATTAAAGAAGTAGTAACTTCAATTCATAAATGATGATAAAAAGTGTATTGATTGGTAAAGGTTGCTAGATTTTGATACTCACCTTTAACATCGGTCATGTCTGCTTTCAAATTTCATTTTATCGAAAAAATTTTACGCTTTTCGTTCTCAGTGTCTATAGCTGTGCAGGTTTCAGTATTCAACGTATTTTCAACGAACATCTTTTCGTGTTTTTGGAAATCACTTTCCATCTAAATTGTGACTTTCCTAGAACTATCTGCAAAACTAACCGAGCTAAAGTGCTGAGCGGATGCCCTTTTATGTCTGCCCTTTTCTGTTTATCAATTTTCTCTGTAATTGTTGAAAAGATGATATAGCAAAGCAATTTGAGACAATTGCAGTATTTGTGTGATTTATTCTTTTATGCGGAAGCAGCAGTCGATCAACGATATTTGCCTCATCCCACATTACGGTAATGCTGCAATCTAGTATTAGTAGGGATAAACATGGGCATTATAGCAAAATACACTGCAGTTGGCAACTAAGCATAATATTGATGACTTTGAGGTATTCCCCTCTTCTCTCATGGGGCTTTCTTGCTCGACTCTGTCCGTGATTATTAAGGTACTGCAAATTTAATGAGCATTTTCCGGGCCTTGCTCCAGGACAGCTTTTTCTCAACAACCTTCTTCTTCGAAAAAAAAATTTAGCACGCTTTGAGAAGCTCTTTTCATGCCTTTTATAGAGATAGTTAGGAACTTTTAGCCTCATATGTTGAAAATTTACAAAGCTTTAAGACCGCAACCAAACCAGGATTTCATTCCATTCACTTTCAAGGCCGGAATTCAAGAGCGAATGATGACATTCTTTCGAAGAGCAGCTACTGCATGTAGTAAAAAGTTTAAATTCCGCACATAAAACTACATTTTTTGAAGACATTCAAGCTAAGATATCAACATGTCAACAGCGGTAGTAGCGCGGTCGTTCTGTGGCCCATAAATTTCTAATAAAGAAGACATTCGCCAGAGTTTCGCTCATTTTTGTAAGCATAGGGTAGAGCCATCTGTTAACAGTGTTTGCGAAATCGTTTCGCTGTTCGTTTGTATGAAAGTGAAAAAAACCTCTTAGCTTGAGATCTTGGGGCCTAGATTTTCATCTTCCTTTATACCGCCGGGTTGAGCTTCAAGATAGGCTACTTATCATTCATACTAATATCTTTGAAGGGAGTTATGATTTGTCAGAGGTCAGAAAAAACTTTTCTCTTTTTTCAGTCCATATTTTTCTTCCCGGTTTTGATTGAGTATAGTTGGATGTGCGCTGTATAGCAAAGGTTAGCTGTAATGGTCTTTATCGCATCAAAAATCAAGAATTTCTAGAAAATAGCAGGTCAAAATGAGAACTCGCAAAACGCTCGTTATCTTTGCGTCAGCCTAAGATTTATGTAAAGTGCTCTATAGTATATTATTCATGAATCACATTATAAGCAATTTTCTCATCTCAATCATTGCGGTTCATTCTCAGCAACTGTATCTGTAACTGAGGTCCACCAGAGCCCGGCACCGATGGTTTGGGATCAAACTGGACTTCGTTTTTGGAGTTAGAAGCAACGGGGACATCGTTTTTATGAGGTCCTGGAGGAAGCGCCAAAAAAAAACACGACGAACATGTCAGGTTTCACGAGTTGAACGTGTTCTTTCGCAAGCGCGAATTTGAAATGCAAGACTCAAACAAACAAATGGCTTGTTTACAACGCACAAACAATCACATGGCTCCGAATTTGGGCTATGATTATACAATATTACTCCAAACTATGTTATGTAAAAAGTTCCCAAAACTTATGTGTCCTAATATCCGTTCTCGAATTTGTTGGTTTCTAAACCAACTACTAAACCAACTGGGTTGGTTCGAAGCATAAATATCGGAGAGTTCACATAAGTTTTAGACCTTTTTGATTTGGACGATTAGAACGGTCAAAAATCTATCATATAGTGAAGAAAGCAAATCAAACCGTTGCCTCTCCCCTTTTTTTGAGTCAAAAGTAGTATAATTCTACGCGTTGTTAGATATCGCGCTCCAATCACTTGCGGTGTCCTTTGAAATATGTGGCGAAAAATGCATCGCAGGATTGTTGAGGCTACAGATTTGGTTGGCCTAAGAGATTTTCGACATTCCCAGTATCAAAATGGTACTATACCCAATGGCAGAGCCTTTAATCGACTCGAAATGTTTTCTTTTTGCTTTTTTGTTATATTACATACCTCAAAATGCGCTTTTTTTCGCTTTTTTGTTGCTATTTTGGTTGAATAAGGGTTTCCCTACTGATTTTCACGTCGAGAGGGACTTCGTAAATTTAAGTCATGGGGGACTTCGTTTCCTAAAAACCTCCAAACCAACGCGTGCCGGTCCCTGAGGTCCACCATTGTTGATGTAATGACAAAATTGAGGCGTACTATGGATTATAACTTACACCAGAACTGAAATGATAAGAAGGGGGAAAATGCAATCTGCGGCTTAGAAGAGAAAAATTAACTTCAATATGAGCAATCTGAAGCTGCACCCGGAAGTCGACCACAGAATCAGTCACCACAGTTTAGAGCTTGAAAAAAAGGTTTTTAGAAGCCCTATATTGATAGCTTTCAAAGTCTTCATAAAAGTAAGAGTTGCTAGGAAAACGAGACCAAAAACAAATGCTTATTACTTTCACTACGTTAGCCTCATCTACTTGAGCTCATAATCAAACCGTAACGACCTGTGGGGTAATTAGCTTGATTCATTCATGATTACCACTTGTGAATCTGCTTTCTTTAGCTCATGACCTTTTAAAAATTTTTCCAGAAAATGATCTCAGAAGAGGTTCAATCATATACCAGTGGTGTAAATTTTGAATCTAACTTCCCAACACAAAGTATCTGTGTTGGTTTTGTCGCATTCGAATCAATTTTGCACATGAGTCGTTCATGTCATCAAATTTGTAGAAAAAAAACTGTTATGTTCGCCTCTTGTTTCCAGACAAAGGCACTCGAACAGGCTCACTACGATTTTGAGGTTGAGTCATAAGAATGTGACAGCTTTTTGAGCAATATTACATCTGTCTTGACACTTTCGCAAATTTTTGAGGTAGCTCCACATTAGATTAACGCGCAAAACAAATCGTCCGCTTCTGCCTATCACTATAGGATCAAAATACTAATTCTCAAGTCTTCAGCCACCATGAAGAAAAATTATTTGAAAGCAAAGGCGGGAAAAGTTCAAAATTACTTTTTTCATGTTCTTAAGGTCCACAAAATGGTTACGTATTCGCTCAATTCATGTTCCAGTTAAAGTTGGCTAGGTAGCTAAACTATGATAGGAGTCAAAAACGGAAATAAGCTGCAATCAACTTATCTCCTTCCAAAACATCCTACAGATCTCACCATCGCTCAAACAATTATGGGATACATCACACATCTTATCATACAATCCCCGTATTTTCTGTTGTTAGAAATGAAGAAAAGGTGATGAGAAAAATGGTAAACTCCGCTTACTGAATGTTTTATGGATATCTCATCAACTCTTGTCAGTAAATTGTTGCTTCGAATCGATCCATTATAAGCTGAGTGCGGTATCATCTCAGAATCTTGTGGATGCTTGTATGACACAGCTTAACGTTTGCGAAAATTTTGCAAAATATGTTACACTTCAGGGTCCCTCACAGTGAGATAACCAGCAAAAACAGTGGATGAGCGCTCAGCCGGGACCGGGAGCGCCTTCCGAGCCCAGCACAGCGCCGGTCGCAACATCTCCTGCAGCTGCTCTAGCTCCCCCAGGACCTGCTCCTCCTCCACCTCCTGCTCCCAACCAAACTGCTCCATCAGCGCCCGACACCACCCAAACTTCGAATGGGGTTGCTGGCGCTGGACCAAATGGGCCAAATGGTGTCGCCCCACATGCGAATGGAGCAGTGCCCAGCAATTCTTTGATGAACGCAGTTGCAAGGACAAACCTCATAGCGCGGGTAAGCGATCTTCCAGTTTTACAGCTTTTCTCAACATTTTCTGAAGAACAAGGTGTTTGGCTCAACATTCATTGATTAGAAAGCTTCAAGCTTCCGTGAGCTTGTGCTCTACTAGGATTAAGGACGGCTAAGATATGTATATCCGAGATGAGATTGATAATCCAAATCTTCCTCAGTTCACGGAGAAACGCCCACAGAAAAATGTAGAAAGAATGCTCTAAATACATCACCTTTATCATCTCAGTGAAACCACCCGGTGGGAACCAGTCGGGTTTGGGAACTGCCAGTTCAAACGATAGGAAACTCGAAACCTTTCGTAAACGTAAATGCATTTTAACCAGATTTTGTTTATCAGCAAAAAGGCTTTCAACAGACTAGGAAAGTATGTGCTCTGTAGAAGGTGTATGCATTTAAAAACATTCACAATCATCAATCAATGAATTTTTGTCTCAGTTTCGCTCTTCATTAGTGATCACATGGATATGATCCCTTGAACGAGGACATGTTGTCCCGTTATTTATTGGCACCTCACAATTTTCTATTCCGCTCGCAACCCTAGGTTGATAGTTGATATTGTAATATTTTGGGCTTTCATGGTTTTGATGTATGACCTTCATCAGCTGTGAATTCAACGCTAGAAAAAAATTCACTTTATATGGATGAGCTTGTGCCTTGAATGAGTCAACTTACGATTAGTGATATCAATATGAGTAGAGGATATTGAAAGACACAAAGAGAAAAGAAGAGTAAAGGCAGTGTCCAGGCAAAATCTATGCTACCCGGCAAGTAACTAGCCTACAGACAGGTTTTGGGAGTAGGTCATCTGCGTTATTCCGGTCATCTGATGCAGCCTTTAAGTGGAAGAAAATCGACTTGGAACCCGCAAAGTGCTGCCAAGTCACGCCCACCCTATAAAGCTCCGCTCCACTCAAGAATGAACGTAGCCTAGGTGGGCGAACCGTGCATTCAGCACAAAGCTGAAATAGGTTTTTTTGGGGGGGAGGGGGGGGAGGGGGAGGGGTGCCCATTTTGCACTTCATTTCTGTAATCGGGGCCACAGAAATGCCCAGAATGACTAAAAGATCGAGGACGAAAATAAGTAAATGCTACCTTCAAGATTGTTTCTGCTTTCTCATTATCTTTTCTGCTTATTATGTACTTATCGCTGTTACAGCTGTTTCGAAGACAAAACCGGGTACACAACACTTATGAAGCTCAGTCAGAATTTATGCAGAAGTTTGGTCATGGAAATAGTGGATCTGAACCAGCATCTGCGCCAGCAGAGGCTACAGCAGCAGATGGTGAGTTTTTTGATATTGTTCTGTGAGTCAATTTTCTGCACAAAATTGCTTGCACATTATTGCACATACCGAAACAAAACGATGCTAGTCTAGTTTCATAAGAGTCTTCTCTCTGTTCTGTATAAATTCTCATTCCGATTTCGCTTGTGACACTTTGTAATAGATGCAATCCTATAATTTACTCATTGTATTAAAAAAGATACATATTACCGTACCTTGGGCTAATCTTGCACAATAATGCTTTTTTAACACAAGAAACGTTGTATTTCTTTGACAGTTTGTTAATGGGATTTAATACACCTAATAAATTATCCAACGCTTACCATAAGGGGACAGTTAAAGCTTTCTCCTTTTCTGTTGGATAAACTTTGATTCCTATTCCACCGTACACATTCAATCTCGCTCTGTAGAATTTTAGAAGCGAGAATTCGTGATTCGCTATCGAATTCAGGCAATTTTAATATCTCAGTAGCTTTTTGTTTGATTCGTTTATGTTAGTGCGCTCCATAACTTAAAGTTGTTTTAGGATCGACTAATAAAAACTTCTTGAGTACATGGACCATTGATGCGTCGCAGGATCGCTACTACTATTGGACTGTCGTTGTAAGTTTTCCAGTAGCAAACAGAAATTGTGAAATTTGTGGCCTCCATTGTATAACCGACATGAGAAACGCAGGAGAAGACTTCATCAAAATACTCATCAATCATCAAACCAAATTAGAACTTCACCCTCTGTATGCCCTTTTATAATCGAGAATCAAGTGTTATATAGAAAAAAGACGAAAAAGTGACATTTTGGCATTTTTGGACCTTCTTTATTTCTCGACTGTGAGCCCCGAAAAAATTCATCAAATACATTTTGGGTACTGCTATGTGTCTAATGAATAAAGACTAAGCTGGAAGTCCTTAGGAATTTTCCAGAATGGGATCCAAGTTTTAAGGTAGTCATAAAAATGGAGTTTACTTTTGGGACAACCTATATACATAAACCTATTAAACCAACCTATATACCGCCGCTTTTTTTTTCAAAAGCAAGAATTTGATTCAATGAGTAAAGAGTGATTTAGCAGTTCAATGTGCAGTCGAGCCCATAATAACAGTGTTCATACCATGGCTTTGGTTATGGTTCTATTTGAGTAAAAAATGTTCTAGATTCTATTTTCAAAACTTGACCAAATGCCAAAATTTTAGGTGTCAATCGCTTTTGTGTACAATCTCCTCTTCGTGATAGCTCGACAAGTGTTTGGAGACTTGATGGGGCCTATTGGAATACCAGTGTGCACTCAGCCCGCGGCACTTTATGTAAATACTACAGTAAGCGAATGTACTGATGACCAGTTAATGAACATGCAGGTAAAGGAACTTTTGCATAGCTCGCATTTCTACTAACATTTTCGTAATCTTAGGAAATGCCATCAATCCAACTGTACTCGGACTTGGGTTGGTCACGATGGTGGTGGACGAGGATTCTCTGGGCTTTGCTCGATCTGGTTATGGACACAATCTATTTTCTTGATATGTTCGTGCGAACTCGGACGGGTACGCCGGTTGTACTTCATAGTGAGCGGACACTTAATGAGCAATTCAGGCTTTCTCGAGCAGGGTCTCGTAGTGAAAGACATTGACAAAATCAAGAAGAGGTACTACGAGAGCAAGCAATTCAAATACGATCTGCTCAGCATTATACCGGCTGACTACATTTTAGGTACATTGTTCTACTCTCGCTTTGGACTCAGATTTTCGTTTTATTCTCGTTCGAAAGTGGATTGTTGAGATGTTGTAAAATCTGTTTTATACTCCCGTGCAGAGGAAACAAATGTTGAAGGTTGTCGGAACAAAATTTGAATGGAGATTTACATAATTGAATTTTTATCTTGATAAGCACCGAGTTATACTATAGGCAACCTCAGTGAACTTGGGCCTCTAAAAGCAATCTTGTAGTGTTTTTTTTTAAATAAAAAGCTGTCTGCAAGCCTTTCTCTTCTGAAGCCTTTAGCTCACCCAGAGGTTTCTTGCAAAATCAAGCAAACACAAACAATAGTGTTTCTTCTGAAAACCAAGGCAGTAAAAAGAAGATTTTTTGTCTATTAACATTTTTCATGAGTATCTTATTTTTGCGTTACCGTAAAAGATCAAAGCCCGCCTCGTAACGTATGAACTTTGCTGCATAAGAAATTTTGCACTAATAATTTTTGGGCTACCTAACGGCCCTCGGTTTCTAGCACTAAACTCAAAATCGCAAAGCCATCTTTGGAAGCTTCCCTCTTGGTGATTAATTAATAGAGTGCTACGCTTGAACATTCTTAGAGGACGCAAACGTTCTACTATTTTTTTGGGATACCGAAGTTTGAATTTAGGTCTAGTATTTGTAATGTTATTAATTTCGTTTGAATTATGCAAGAACTTTCACGCCAACCAATATCAATCTATTCCGATAAGAAGCTAATGGTAAAACAGGATACACAACTCTCAGTCGGATGATTTATCTAATAATAGTCCTCCTCATAAACATTGCAAACGTGTGCAGATTAGCAGGAGTAACGCTAATCTGACAACAAAACCCAACAGTCTTTTGAGATCGCGAACACTAGGAGATCTCTAATCTGCCTCAAGTGTTCTGACAGGGAAAGGATACTTGGCCGAAGTGCAGTTCCCATATGGGTGAATATATTTTATAGAGCATGGAACGCTGATTCCAAATTTGCTTTCGTTATCTGCAAAGCTCTTCTGGGATGGGAGTTATGAAAATTTTTTGAGGGAAAAATTTAAGGTTCTGGAGGGTAAAAACGAGTATTTCCGGCGCTTTCCGGCGCTAGAATAATGATTAGCTTAAACTTATCAGACGGAAGATATCAACTGCACGAAGTCTTCCGAGTATCATGACTTCATCTGAGTTCGCAGGCTACACTTCTGAATGATTTTATTGCACCTAAGCCTTGGAATTTTTGCGTCAAAAATTTTCCATAACTCCCTCCCTAGAAGCGCTTTGCAGATACCGAAAGCAGGTTCGGAATCAGCGTTCCATGCTCTATAAGATAGTATACATTTCCTTTGGAAACGCCATTTCGACTAAGTGTTCATCCCTGGTGAGGGTGAATTACAAAGCGCAACAACTTGCATTCATAGGCTGGCCATGGCCCATATCATGGTTTCGACCATTTCCCGTTATTCGCTTGAACAGACTTCTACGCCTCGACAGAGTTCGCGACTGTATCGAGCGGACTGAAACAAGGTTTGTATTCTTTGCCCTTATTCTTGTCACTCTTTCATTTTTTCTCGTGGTTCCAGGAGCTCAATGCCGAATGCTTTTCGCGTACTTTGTGTAGTGTGGTATATCATCGTAATTATACATTGGAATGCTTGTTTCTACTTCTGGATATCGGAGATGATTGGTTTGGGATCGGACGGTTGGGTCTACGGTCCACTAAATCGGCAAAGTCTACCAGAGTTGGTTTTATCAGTTGCTTTATAGCTAATGAGCACTACAGACAAATATTGCAGAAACGTCAAAGATACACTACTTCGACGCTATATATACAGCTTTTATTGGTCAACTTTGATTTTGACCACGATTGGAGAGGTAAAGGGTTTTAAATTTCTAGTATTGAGCCATCGGAATGTGATAATCAACTTTAGCGTACTCGATGAATTTTTAAAATTCGTTTTAGCGGGTGTATTTTTGATTGAGATGTTGACATAAGTACCTTTTTCCGAATCTTTTTGGATTAGTATTTCTAGTCAAATCAAGTAGTGGTTGCCTTTGCAAACTGGATGCAAGTATATAAAAAAGTATAAAAAGAACAACCGTGTTGGGAAGAATTGCAGCAGTAGAACAGGAATATCTCCTAATACAATTTTTTCCTGTTTTCTTACTCAAAAATGAAAATCACATTCGCTGACGTCATACTAAAAAAGTGCAAAATGCTTTTACAAGAAAATCTTGATCAGAAGCAAAGAAAAAATAAGTATATAATAAATATGAACGCAGAAATAGGTGTCGCCACTGCGGACCAAATGGCGTCTTTCAAATTATACGGATTTTCGTTCCTCTAACCGTCTGCTGTCTCTCCCCAACACATGTTGTCTTAGTCTAATGCAATAGCGTTCGGTCTGCGTGCGATGAATTGCTTATACATTTGCATTGCATTTAGGTACCCGGACCAGTACAAAATATAGAGTATCTGTTCGTAACTCTTGATTTAATGTGCGGTGTGCTCATTTTCGCTACCATCGTCGGTAACGTCGGCAGGTAATGATATAAAAAATTTTTTTTTGTTGCAGCTAGTAGACACAATTATGTTACAGTATGATCTCCAATATGAGCGCTGCGCGAACGGAATTCCAAAACAAAATGGATGGCATCAAACAGTACATGGAATTGCGAAGAGTCAGCAAACAGGTGATCTATTCTAAACATAACTAAGCATATCTTGCAAATAATTTTATCTTCAGCTGGAAATGAGAGTCATAAAATGGTTTGACTACCTCTGGGCCAACAAGCAATCGCTCAGCGATCAGCAAGTGCTGAAGGTCCTTCCCGATAAGCTGCAGGCTGAGATTGCTATGCAAGTGCATTTTGAAACACTGAGAAAAGTCCGCATTTTCCAGGTTTGTGATGTTTATTACAAAAATCAAATCTTTGTAGAGAGTCATTATGTGTTCGGATGCAAACAATGAACTTTCAGGATTGCGAGGCTGGTCTTCTAGCAGAGCTAGTGCTCAAACTGCAGCTACAAGTGGGTCTTATAGTTGTTTATTCAGCTGTCTGAAAACCCCCAAGTTTGCCTTTAGGTATTCTCACCTGGCGATTACATTTGCCGGAAAGGTGACATAGGAAGAGAAATGTACATAGTAAAGAGAGGCAAGCTGCAAGTTGTTGGTGACGACGGGCAGAAGGTACAGGATTGGTCTAACACATGTTTGGAATGAAAATAGATACAATTACATTCCAGGTATTTGCAACGCTGCAAGAAGGCGCTGTTTTTGGAGAATTGAGCATCTTGAATATTGCGGGTATGACTTTTGATCAATAATTTTTTGACCATTAATAACTTCTCCGAGTTGTTGTAGCGCTTTTAAAGACTTTTTTATTTCTTACTTCAACTCTATCCAAAAATACAAAATAATCCCGTTTCAACTTCAAGTGAGTGCAACATCCAAATAGGCTATTAGATACTAACTTTACAGCTTGGTAAATAGACATCGTATACAGATTGCCCCCATTTATTGCGATGCCGTTCATAGACGACAATCTGTTTTCTTGTGATTATTTGCCTTGTCAACTTTCAGGAAGTAAGAATGGCAATCGACGAACAGCCAATGTGCGATCTGTTGGCTATACAGACTTGTTCGTCCTGAACAAAAACGATCTGTGGAATGCTCTGAGAGAATATCCAGATGCAAGGAAACTTCTGATGGCAAAGGTAGATTTACAGTGAGAACAAAATAAGAGTTGGCTGAAAGTTCATATTTAGGGCAGAGAATTGCTGAAGAAGGACAATCTTCTAGATGAGAATGCTCCAGAGGAACAGCAGACTGTAGAAGAACTTGCTGAGCAGCTCACAAACTCTGTGAAAGTCTTACAGACCAGGTTTGCATGCATCAATCGCTTTGTTCACGGGAACTACGCTAGGATTACAGTAACGCCTAGATTTTTGGGTTACTGCGGTTGCCCACTTCCCATCGCTCTATAAATCTCCTTCTTGTGTATCAAAAACTCACTGATTAACTGATTATAAAGTGCAAGCAGAATTCAGCGCTTAAAGGCACCGTCTACCCAAAATAGGGGTTGGCAAGATTATGATGGCATACTAGTGTGGGCCCCCACATTAGGCAAACTCCTAAGTTGCGCCGCAAAAGACTGCTTCTGGAGCGAGAAATCCGCTCCGGAAGTAGCAAAGTGGGCGGAGGGACCATGGTCACCCCGCCCACTTGCGTGCTTTACCTTGCCCGCGCATTTTGCAGGGGGTTCTCAAAACTGGGATTTTTGGAGGTTTCGCGGATTTTCGACTCCATATTCGAAATCAGGGCTTCAGAAGGCCTGGAATCGACCAAAACATAAATGTCGAGAATATGTTAGCTTGTCGTTTTTTCGACGATTTCTTGGTAATTTTTGCTGAAATTGGGCAGGTGTCCAGTATACCGTTTAACAGGAACTCGCGACTGACTTGCTTCTCAAATCGCTATTTGTAGTCTAAATACCTCAAGCTTACAGAAATCCGGAATATTGCGAACAATCTAAATGAGCAGACCCATAAGGCTTACAGCTATCGAAGCAGTTTAGACTTTCCCGTAGTCTCATGTTCAGAAGAGAAAGTGTGGGTTGCCTGGATTCAAGTCACTGAAGATTTCGCACCGCACAGAAGCGCCTTTATCATCTTTCCTTCACACTGAAATAATCCATCTCACCTCGCAAGCCTTGAGTATTTGATAGGATATATCTTGAACTTTGATTTGCAAGAAAATGCTACCGCACTTATATGTTGGGGTTCATGTATAAGAGGCCGTGCATACTTCACGCGATTTCAGTCGCGAAGCGACTTTGCAGTATTCCAACTGTCCATAACGCACTGTAATCACGTTTTAAATGTACAGAAGATAGGGCATTTCATTCCACGTAAGTTATACGCACTATGCATGTGCAGTTTGCTAGTGTTGGAATCTGAAGATTTCTGGCGAGTTGCCAAATCGCGTCGCGACTGAAATCGCGTGAAGTATGCCCAGCCCTTAATTGACAAAATCAAATTTCAAGGATGGCTCGTCTCATTGCTGAACATACAAGCACCGAAACGAAGCTGAACACTCGTATAGAATTTTTAGAGAAGCAGCTGCACAGGTGAGACAAAGCTCCTGCCTGCTCATAAATTTGAAAAGCAAATTTAGGTACAAAACGATGTCGCGGCGGCAAAAGAGTTTGCAGGTGCATTCGATGAGTCAGGACGAGACCTAGCTTTTTTTGTAATTCTGGCTATATGTCCCTGTAATCACACTCGTAACTTCGCCACAATGTGATCTAAAAATTTACCATATTTAGCAGCACCTTCTCTATCTCGTTATGAGTGCTATATGTCGTGCATGTCTTACTCTTGACGGGTTCCGATATTGTGATAGTTGCTGATAGCATGGTCGTCTTCCCATTCAGTGCTCAATCTTTTGAAAATTATGAAATAAGGTTGTAGTCCCATCCTGTTAGTTCGACAATCATGCTCATTTGTAATTTGTAAACTGTTCTCTCACATTGATTCTGCTCAGAGAAACTCGGTAAATTTCGTTTAGAAACCATAGGGTTTTTTCTTTATGAGGTTTCTTTACGTGGCTCATGAGTGTGTTTATGCGTGCAGACTTTATTTTCTGCTCCTAATATATTCTTGCTGGTAAAAAATATTTATAGAAAAGCATGTGCAATAAACTCTTAATTGAAGTAGTTGTTCTCATAAAGCCAAACGCCCATTTTGATCGTGAAATGTATCACGATTTATTTTCGTTTTTGATAAAGGATGCTGGAATCTGCAATATTTGGCCAACAATAAGAGTAGCTCAGAATCTTCAGTGTTGCCTTGCTAACAGAGCCAGCCCAGTTATTGCGTTTTCTTTTAATAGTCAGCAGAATGCTTTCAGGTCTTATTAGAAAGTAGAGTTTTCGGGGAATTAGCATGTTCTTTTTTTTCGTTTAAGGTTTTGCTTCGTTTTCTAACTCAATCACACTACTTCCAAGGAAATCATTTTTGAAAAAAGATCAAAATCTGGGGCCTAGGCCATACAACACGCAATTTTCAGTCGCGACGCGATTTGGCAATGCTCCAATTGTCATAATCTGTGCGCGCATTCCAAAAGCTGTACAGACTATGTATTTGCGGTCTGCTAGAGTTGCATTTGAAGACAATCTGGCAGATTGCCAATTCGCGTGGTGATTGAAATCGCGTGAGGTATGTCCGCACCCTAAACAGTTGTGTAATAAGGCCCCGGACAGACTTCACGCGACTTAATCGTCGCGATGTAATCGCCAAGATTTTCATTCATTTTCATTTCACATTCAAAAATGTCGGGCTGGAAAAGTATCACAACCGAATGCAAGTTGATCGGCATGGAATGATGTTGTAACAGTTGTCTCGTCGCGACTCAGTCACGACGATCAAATCGCGTGAAGTCTGCCCGGGGCCTAAAGAGGGTATAGAAACTAGAGCAAATGGAGGTAGCCGATTTGAACGTTCCCCAGAATGGTACAGCACTCTTATCACTTCCATATCATTGTTTTTGATCAAGGAGAGCATTCGCTTTTGAGTTAGGATCATTTTTCAAGCTTGGCACACATGAATCGTCTACTTTCTAAATTGTCAGGAGACGAGTTGCACACTACAAATCCTTGCTGACTGAACTCCTCTCTTCCAGAATCGTCATTATAATTTCCACCTTTGCATCTGCTGCTTATCGTTCCATGACGATAACTGTCGTAGTGGAGGAAGAGATCTCAAGAGATTTTGCTCTACTAAATATGGTTAGTCCCGGATTTTTTGTTTGAATTTACGCAGGGCAAGAAACAGTATGAGTCTATTGTTTCGAGTCACTTATATCTGGCGAATCGCTCGTTCTATGCTTTTCATTGGCTACGAGCGCAATTGGTATCAATGTGTAAAAACAAAGCTTTGAGAACATGGTGGTAGAAAAAGTGAGGAAATTACAATGGCAACAAAATTGATTTCTCAGCCAAAAGTAGTAGTGATTGAGCCTTGCATTAACGGGCTTCTTGGGTCAAGGAACAAGACGACTGTTAGAACACTTGAGGATTGACTTGCTTTGTGTTCTCGTAAGATGCTCATTCCAGCACTGAAACCCACTTAAGCATTTCATTGTTCGGAATGATATCATTCGGAAACACTCAGCAATGTTTATCAATTTTTTCAAAGTCAACTAAGAAATGAGCGGTGGAGCGAGCGGATAGCGGATATGAGCGGATGTGTAAAGAGGCCGGGCATACTCCACGCGATTTCAGTCGCGAGGCGACTTGGCAATATTTCAACTATCCATAACTCACTGTAAGCACATTTTAGATGTACAGAAGATATGGCATTTTATCAATCCACGTAAGTTATACACGCTATGCATGTACAATTTGCTAGTGTTGGATCCGAAGACTTCTGGCGAAGTGCCAAATCGCGTCGCGACTGAAATCGCGCGAAGTGTGCCCGCCCTAAATGCCAAAGCTGCTTGATTTATTGTGCGGCAGACATGTCAAATGAAAGGAGACAGCGATATGATGTAGCTACAATCGCCTATTTAGGAGCATTGCAAAAAGACTGTGGCTGATTGCTTACCAGACAAGTAGCTCATTATGCAGGGTAGTACTATGACTCTGAGCAGGGTCCGGTCTCGTTAACCTCTTCCATTGTTTACGATCTCGACTTGTCGTTCGCTTAAACGGAATCCTTCACTGTGTGTCCCTATCCCTCTATCTTAGCTTTGGTCTTCCTCCGGGTCTTTTCCCGGATTCTCCTCTGGCATTGCTAATCGCAACCCCCATAATTGCTAATGCATACACTTATAATGTGGTCTCCCCTTCGCTTGCTCACTTGCCCGTCCCATCGCAGTCAATTTTCCTGCATTTTCATGACCATCGGGGCTACTTTTATCAGCTCATTTGATATCGTTTGTGAAATGGTCGATCGCGGTCGCGCCCATCGACATTGCAGCACACGTGTTTTCATCACGCCAGACTTCCGCTTGTCGTTACCTGCTCGGCCAACGCTCGTTTTCATACAACGCGGTCGGATGGACTACAGTGTGATACATTTGTCATAGCTTTAGTGGCATTCTTTTGTTATACAGAATTTCTGTAAGGCTTTTTCATTTCAACCAAGCTGCATTCATTCGGCTGTTTTCATCGTAAAGCCAACCATCTGCGGAAACGCGACTCCTCAGGTACTTGAACGATATGGTCTACTTGATTGGTATGTCTGCAATCTGGATCGTCTCAGGCGGTTGAAGTCCTAGCTCTATGTATTCTGCTTTGGCGGATCTTCTTCTACAGATCCGTCTCCAACTCCTTTCTGCTTCTCGCCATCAGGAACACTCATCTCATACATGAAGTTTCACGGAAGTGAGCGTTTGAAGTTTCTCACTATCGTGTCCACGACTGTGATTAGAAGCATCGACAGTACGGAACCTTGATTCACGCCGACTTTGATCAAGTCGCCTGACCGTCCTGCTGCTATATTCATAGCTGGTGCATTCTGGTCCTGCGGAGTGTTCTTCTGGTACTTCATGCTTCCGCCTCTGCATTTCGCCACTATCTGATGAATGTCGTCCTTTGGAAGAATCCAGAAGTGGTGGATCACTTTGTAAACTTGGCAGGGCAGAGTCCATTGCCGTTTTGGCTCGGCCGTCCTCTACCATTCGACGCGTACTTCTTGTTCGGTTGTCGCCCTCCTCTTCCTGCTGATTAGGATATTGAGATCCAGTACCAGTGGCAATGTTGTGCACACATTCTTCACCTGGGATGATTTGCTGTCAATCACGTAATTGGCTCCTTCTACTGTACACTTCGGAAGTCTATCTGTAAATGCGCCCGCTGACGTACGTGACGAGTATTTGGACGGTCTATTCAACGAAGAAGAATTCCTAGGCTAGATCACCGTAAGAAACTCCAGAGTACCTTCTTCTTCGTTGTTACGGGTTACGTACCCATGGTTTTCATGGCAATAGTGTACCTATTCATTGCTCTCCTACATCCGCTGAGATCCGCACCAATTAGTAGCATCTCTTCTTCTGGAATTCGAGTTGACGCAGTCATCAAGACTGCTGTTGGGATTCCTCCTTCTCCGCCTCTCCAGATTCGCTTGCGGTGCATAGGCCGCTACCACTTGAAGCATCTTCTTTCCAACTTGATCTTATACTCATGGAAACGCTCACTCATTCGATCTACACCTACCCCGATCTACACCTACACCATCTCCAGCGCTTCAGCGATGACTTTGCCTATCATTCCTGTTGTTGCTTCTTCCTTTATACAGAACCTTGTATTCATCCCCGTTGTTGCGCACCCTTTCACTCTTCCATGTCTCATGAATACGTGCTATGTGTAATTTACGTTTTCTGTGAAGATCGGCTGAAACGCGCCGAGCATGAGTGATCCGACGTTGATGGTAGCTAGGCTTACTGTTGTCGAGAACTTAAATGTTTTTCTATGATAAGCTAGCTTTCTTAGCCGTCCCAGGTCACCTTGCTGAAACGTAGTTCTCACCTAGTGTTCATATTCGTCGTGCTCGAATGAGCCTTGCCTCAGGAGAACGCCATAGCTACTCGAAATTTCAAGTGAGGAATAAAAGGGCATCTAAGGCCCCGGACAGACTTCATGCGACTCAATCGTCGCGATCTAATCGCCAAGATTTCCATTCATTTTCATTTCACATTCAAAAATTTCGGGCTGGAAAAGTATCACAACCGAACGCAAGTTGATCAGCATGGAATGATGTCGTAACAGTTGTCTCCTCGCGACTCAGTCGCGACGATCAAATCGCGTGAAGTCTGCCCGGGGCCTATGCGACGGGATTTCTTTTTCAGATGCTTGTCGATTGCTTCCTTTGGATGATCGACCTGTAGCTGCAATCGTGGGCAAAGTTTTATTAGAAAAATTGAGCTTGCGGCGGCGCGTTACTTACCTCGTCGTAGTCAAGAGCGCTAGCCTCTCGGCCAACTCTGCCCCGTCACGGTCTAGCTATTCACAATGCTGCATTTACAGAGGACATGCTGGTCAACTTTGCTCGAAGCTCATGATCGCAATCGTTTGATCAGACAGCTTTGCACTTCGTTTTGAGAGAATAAGCATAGCAGGGGATACTTTAGTGAAGACGTCTTGGCCACGGCTCGGCACAAGTGGCTTGTAAGCCAGCTGGTATCGTTTTTTGGGACGAAAAGCAAAGGGGGTTTCGTTTTTGTGACCGAAGAGACACGGAAAATTGGCGACGGCGACCTTTTTTTTTAGTCGACGTTTCGTTTTTTGGGGGATTTTGGGGAATATTTCAGGTTTTTAGAGGAAATTTGGTTGAGGGTCAAAGGGGACTTCGTAAAAATTCCCAAAAGTCAAGGGGGACTTCGTTTTTTCCATTTTCATCTAGCCACCTCGTGCCGAGCCCTGGTCCTGGCTAAGGCCTCCGACAGAGTTCGCGCGATTTGATAGTCGCGATTCAATTGCTACAAGACAACTGTTACGAGTTCATTGCAAGCCGATCAGCTTGCACTTCGGTTGTGAGCTTTTCCAACTCGAGATTTTTGAATGTAGAATGAAAATGAATGAAAATCGCGGCGATTAAATCACGACGATCAAATCGCGTGAACTCTGTCCAGGCCTAAGAGGGAGAGAGATTATGAGCATCAAGTCCACTTTCCGAGACACGTAGCAATCATTTCTGCTGTCTTCAAAGCAGATATGGTGTTGCTTGTATATTAGAAAAGCAACCTACTGGTCCACACAACTTTTCGTTTCTAAGGAGTGGCAAAAATGCTTTGAAAAAATTTACCTTAGAGCTTTTAGGTATTTCATAGACTCTCTAACGAATTTGGTTTGCGAGTAAAACATGTGTCAAAGACAGAAGATAAGTGCAGCGCTTACGCAAACTTAGCAAAGAAATATGCTCCTTTACGGGGACAGACCATGCTAATAATTATTCCGTGAGTTTGCTTTTTTGTACTTGATTTTAAATTACCGAGCAATGGAGTGAAAAGATTAGGGTCTACGAGCCCTTTCAAACACTTCTAATATAAAATTTCACAATGAAGTTTGGTCTACAAAAGATAGCACTCTGGTGAGAATTGCATCAGTGGCTTTAAAGCGCCGGCAGGAATTCGCCTGGGCCAAGCTGAACTCTGTTTTTGTGGTGAAAAGCTAAGAGGGTCGAAGGCACATACTTCGATGATTATCCATAACCAATCTCCAGCAAACTAAGATATAAATGTCCCAGTGCGTCTTTTACAAGCGCAGGCTATATACTGCTTACTCATGCTGACTATCAAGTCTCTTTAGTTTACTGCACATGAAACGGCGCCTTGATTTTGCGCGTTAGGAGTGTGGCCTTTTTACACTACAGTATCTGACAACCACACTGTGTGACTTGTCGAAATACATAACACAATCGACAGACTCAGATGAATCTGACATTCGATGGCATCGGTTGCACGGTTCCAGAATTCAACTCAATTTCATACTGTTCTAAAGGATCGTTCGGGCTGAAAGAGAGGTTAGAAAGTCAGCGCTGCTGGCCGGGACAATAGCAATGAGTCTCAATCTAATTAACTACACGATTCCGCTGAAAATGACATCAAATACGAGAAATCGCTCCAGGCGAGCTAGTAAATTTGAGAGGTGATCACCTTATCAGCGGATTGTGGCTGTGCTTACTCAAAACAATCTCACCGGTTCTAGAGACCTCATATGTATTCCGATAGTAACTTCAATAATGAGGCCAGGTTTGGGCTATGCACTCGGCAAAAACGTGGAGAAAGAGGACAAAATTACGTGGAGGATACTCCTGAGCTAAGAGCTTGACCTCAAAGTGCCAAACATGAACCTCTAGTGGAAATCCTGCATCTGCCTCTTTATCTTTATCTATTACAATCGAAGTGCACCAGAAAAAGTGAATGGAAACACAGGCCGACAACCGACCTAGCCACCCTACATAAAGAGAAAGCAATGAATAAAATTATTTTTACACTCAAAAAATCTCAGACCCATGCGACGGTATGAGACAGAAGAAATCTATAATGCGTAAGGAGAATATATGTATCTCGAACATAATCAAAGCTCTGATCTGAAGCATTCCTCGAGAAATCATATGTTTAGAACGCAAAGTAATTGGTTACGATGGAATGTGACCCATCACTTTCGAGTCTTACGCTTTGGCGGATAGCAGCTAAGTGATTTGGCTCAGAAATTGCCCTTCACAACCGATAATGGTAAAGTACGCCTCATATTGGACCCAATACATCAGAAAAGTCGGAATAGATATGCGGAACAAAATAAGCACCGGAGAATCATCTGAAAGAAAAACAGCAACAGCGAAATACTGCAAAGCGAAAATGAAATGAATGAAAAAACCATTTGATCCAAAATTCAAGACAAAAGTGTATAAACTCAACACCGAAAAAACACGAAAAAAAAATTATAACGGTTATAATTCACAACCAAAAATCAAAAGAAATCAATGTTTGACAAAGCTTTTTTGAATGAGTGGCTTGTTTTAGCAGCTAAAAGTTGTGCAGATAATCAAACCAACAAACACAGCGATGAGAAAACCAACTGAAGAGTCGTGAATAGAAACATTTTTTGGGTCTAGAATTATGAAGATTGAATCCTTCAAGTCTGCAGCTTACTGTTTCAAACTCCAGAAGACCCTGGGAGGTCAATCTCCTGCGCAATATTTGAAAACAGAAGAAATCAGCCATAATACTGCAACTTAAGATTTCAACCCCGTTATCTTGAGGCGTTCTTTGTAATCAAGCAGTATCTTGTAGGGGTTTTTCTGAGATATCCGAGAAAATAGCATACGTTTGAACACATTTTTTTTTGTAAACAACCGATGGAATACCATCGAGGAGCTCCGTGTACGAATGGTTGAGCGAAATGAGAATAGTGTTAACTCCATTTTCATAGAGAAGTAAACCATACAGCAATTTTGAACAGAACTCGTATTAAGATCACATATAGGATATCACACTAAAATTGGAGCAGCTGTAATGCCTGTATTGATGCGTGACAGCAAATGAATATTGAATGGATTAGGATTTTAGGTTTGAAAGCGATAGTTTTAACTGCAAGAAAAGCGTAGAAGGAAACGTAATACTTGTTTGGCCATATACAATGGTTGGGCCGGAAGTAAGGGCAAATTTCTTAGTGAACATTAACGCTTAAAAAAATCATTTACTGCAGCAAGGCTTTGCTTACGGTCAACTAGGAGATATAAGGGAAAACTATCAATCAGGAGCGATATTCGGTCTCATTCAATATATAGATCAGATGACAACGGTAGGTGTCGGTCAGTTCTCCTTATTTTCTGACTTTCTAGAAAAATTATTTTTAGGTGTCTTCAATGCCGAGCTACGAGTATGACACGTCCGATCTATTCAAGGTAGTTTTTGAAGCAGTCAACCAAAAATTGGTCTGCAAACACTGTTTAGAAAATGAAGACAGGCTTGTCTGTGCCCGGATATCTAGCTCTAATTCTGTCTGTCGGAACTGTAATCGCTTTCGCAGTAGCTGTGAATCTATGTGTTAAATATCGTAAGAAAAGGTAAAGCAATTTATTAGGTTGGAAACTAAGTTTTGCAACTGGTCTCATAACTTCCCTCTCACTCAACATGGCGCACTCAAATTTTGCCACTGCGTTGGTTACTATGTAAGCTACGAGCGCAGCTGCTGTCCTACCAAATTCTGACGTCGCAGTGAGGGTTACGGTAGATGCATGGTATGAAGGGGAATAATTCAAAATTCGACGGATTTGGCTAAAACTTGGCATAGGGGTGTTATCCGACATGCTGATCACGAAAACGATAGTGAAATTGCGTGATAAGGGCTTTTTTGTAGGATTACTGTAGGTGTACGATATGGCGTCTCACCCTAAACAAGGAAAAAGGCGTTGAATCAACAAGTGAATGTGATATTCGCGTTTGGCAGGTCAAATAACCTTATTATGTAAAGTCTCGGCGGAATTTGAGCTTCGGACTCTCTAGTCGTTGACGGTCGTCTCCAGCAGCTCTTGCGTACATCGACTCCTTCGACTTTATGAGGACGCCAAAACTCGACATGCCCCTAAGTTTTGTTTCTTTCTTACTAGGCCAAAGAAGTCAACCTCCAGCAGTAATTTATAGATGAATCCGGATTACTGTGCATAGTCTAGGCTGCCAAAGGTCATTTTAGCTTGAAACCCCAAAAATTCTGAAATTTCACTAGTTTTCGAAAAACGCCTGAAACTTTCCTATTTCGCGTTCAAAATTTAGACAATTATGCTCACTTGTGCTCACATTGCCTTCTACCTAATGCCAAAGTTTGAGTGCGTCATATCCAAAGAGAGTGAAGTTATGAAACCAGTTGCAAAACTTAGTTTCCAGCCTAATATATGGGATGTTTTTCTTCTTCAAAAAGTCGTGCTTCAGTGCCATTAGTGCTGTGGGGCTCTTCGACATTGGATTCTCGTCCGGAGACACCGGTCGAAGCTCAGAGGAAAAATCTCGAAAGAAAAAGAAAAAGAAGAAGGACGAGACTGCAAAAACTGAGGAGCTTCCGGTAGGGTATGATGGTTTTTTATGCGCAGTCTACTATAAAAGTCTTACATTCGCTGGCTGATAGCATACTTTTTGTAGGAAAAGCTCGATCCTGCTAAAAATGGCCGGTCTGTGATTTTCACATTGCGAATGTGGGTGAAATTGCTAGTGCTAGCAGTCTTCCAATAGTCTTACCACTGGCATAGAACTCAACAAAGCAGTCTTTTTGAGCTGCTACAGCCAACCAGTCACAAATAGTTGCCCCTTGCATCGAGGAATAAGTAAAACTGGGTGGAGGAACGAACACCTCACTTAGACACCGCCTCCGCGGACCCACTGATCCCAACACGATGCACAACAGTAGGACGAAAGGACCAGCAGCCCGCGGAGGCGATGTTTAATTGAGACGTTCGTTCCTCTACCCAGAAAAATTCATGTTCAAATGCATTTCCACGTACAGATTATTTATACTTTCTGCGAAAATCATCGCTTTGGCTACCTTTTATTTGCTTCAGTTCGCGAAAAGGTTATCAATCAGCTTTCTACTGTAACTCAGCGAATTGATAGGCGTGGCGTACGGTAAGAGGCCAAGTTGTCAAAAATGCGATTCTTGATTGCTTCCAGAATTTCAATTTCTATCCGAGTTTCTAGTTTGCTTCCAAGCAATATGATTTCAGAAGGTAACGACTAAAGAATCTGTAGAACAATTGGCGCCATTTATAGCAAAAGGACGTAGTACGGATGAGGTATGCTGCAGATTGATGTGTTTCTTTTCAAATTTTTAGCTTCGTGGTGAGAAGATCGCTGAAAATGAGCGATAATAAGTCATGATCATGTCGTGGCTGTATAGCAAGACCCCGGTACTGATCTAGCTTAGTGTCCACCCAGGGCTCGATACGAACTGGCACCAGGGAAATTTCAAAACGAAGTTTCTTGAAAATTTCATACAAAGAGTCTCCTTTGACCCGAAACGTAAAAAATCCTAAAAAACAAAACGTCGACTAAAATAGTCGCAGTTTTTGTGTCTTTTCGGCCACAAAAACGATCCTCTTTGGTTTTTGTCCCAAAAACAATATACAACTTGACCCGGTACCAACTGTGTCGAGCCCTGTGTGCACCTCATATATCCTTATAAATTATACCTATGTATTAGTAAGAAGGTTTGAGTTTGAGCTAAGAAATAAAATCTTTTGGGATTACACGGGAGGGGAGCGAAGGCTGAGGCCTCAAGGTACGCGAAATCAGAAAATTAAAAATTCACTCTACAGGCGACTGGGCGCTTGAATAAGTGAGTGGTCCGACAAAATTCGGTGGCTATCTCCCATCCCTCCCCCTTCCCGCTCCCTCTTATTGGAACACTTTTGAGCTTTCTTTTATGAAAGAAACAATTTCTCCAGCGATATTCCAAGATGTGACAATTTTTTGAAATTTTTCACTGCCAGCTAGGATCGAAGCCCATAGCATGTAGTGGTGGATAATTTTGAATTTGAAATTAATTCTTTGTGCTAACCCCATTTCGAAGTTCAACCAAAGTACAATTTACCAGATGCTAGTTTGCTTAAATATGCATCTATGCCAGATCAGTCTCGAAGCGGATACAATAGAATTGTTCTAGATAATTAACATGTAACATTACAGCTTTTGGAGAATCCCGTCAACGCTCCAGAATTTCTTTTCTATCTTCACCGACTCGCACGGTTGGTAATTGAGTATTTCGACGATCCTAAAGCGTTCAGTGTTACTACAGGTGAGTTATACACGCAGTAGTAGAAATCAAAGAAAATTCTTCAAGATTTGAGTCCTGGCTTTCTCTATCGAACGATGTCAAGATTCGCTCCTCCTACTCCCGAAAAATTCCAAGTCATCTGTGACGATTTAAAAAGGAAAATTTTACCCGGGGTAATCGATCGCGGTAACAAGGGTGTTCCTCCTTGAATTTTTGTGGATTTCAGATGACACATTGGCAGCATCCTCGCTTCCATGCCTACTATCCCGCTGGGCGCCGATTTCCGGATGTTCTTGCGGAAGTACTTACCTCAGCAATGGCATTCAATGTCTTTTCATGGGTGAATTTTTCTAGAACTAATCTTCTTAAACCCTAGAACATCAAAATGCGATAAAGTCGAGGAAACTATCAGCATTTATGCACACTGTCCCAAAACATGTATGAAGGCAAGTCCCAGATGAAAGCAAGTGGTTAGTCATTGCGAAGCGGGCGCGAGCGCGACAAACAAGCACCTTTTCATCGCTGCACCGGCTAGGATGCAGGCCAATGATCGCTCGCGCACCACATCACTTGCTTCATATGAGCGTCTGCCTTCGTCCGGGACTAAACTTGTCTCATCTGTAAACTTTGGCCAGAAATAGCAACAAAGAAAATACTAAGGTAATGTATGCAGATGCAAGATAATAAGAACATCGGGATACGCTGAGGAGGTGTACTCCGATGTTCACTGCATACGAATTTTAATCACAAAAGATGTTCAGGAGAGCTGCCCCAGCTTGAGCGAACTCGAAAACTTGGTTGTGAACTGGATTGGTCGAGCTTTTGGGCTACCGGAAGAGTTTCTTTTCCAGGTCCTTTCCGTTCTAAATTCTAACACATGAACCGAAGCGGATTCAAAATCTCAAAAGTTGAGAAAATCGCGTCTCAAAGCTCAAAAATCATCTGATTTAGTAACCAAAAAAATTTAGATCTTTGCGGTGATTCCCAAAATTCGGTTTTCCATTTTGGGCATTACATTTATTGCGCTTACCCTGATATTATGAGGTTTCGTATAAGAAGACGAGTATCTGGAACTTGGAAATCAATCAAAAGTGATACTTTGAGTTTTTACTAAAGAATACATTGGACTTTTTCCGAGGATCATAAGGTTATCCGGTACAATAAATGCCGTAAAAACAGTACTTGAATCTTATCCCGTAGCAAGCAATTGTAATGTAGTGTTCTGAAAGCCTCTAGCATCAAACAAAAATCTTTATATCGAGCACTTGTGATGCAATCTCTAAATGACGGCGTTACTGGATGTTGACAGCGTAAATTGTAGATATATTGCATTGATGAATATCCCAAATACCTTTCCGGAAGGGGGGGGGGGGTGAAGGCTAAATCTGGCTCTTAAATATTTCTTTTCAACTCTCCATTCTCCTCCTCTCAAAAACAAAATTGAAAAAGTCACTGCTAGATTCCAAAGAGAGCGTAGTCGTAGATGCAAGAATACATTACATTCAATGCAATTATGTAAGACAGTGGCAGACTGGTATGACAGCCGGTATTGGAGTTGAAGAACCTATTTTGCAGTTTTGAAATGTTGTAAATCTTCGTCTTTACATTTATTCGAAAGTTATCATGAACACTTTCTCTGCAACCAGTACAAGTGTCAATTGTAGGAAAGCCTTCAAAGAAGTCCAGGCGGTGGGAGCATTGTTGGAAGTGCGTCAGATGCAATTTTCTGCTCAATCATGGTCTCGCGGAACTGGAAAATAAGCCAGGTACCTTAAGATGTGGTCAGGCTCAGCTTATCTACTTGTTACAGGTCAGAACACAACATAGAGATATGGCATCCTCTGAGTATGAGACTATCCATGATATCTTAAAGAAATTGGTTGTGTATTGCAGCAAAGACGTAAGTCAGGCCTTAAACTCAGTCAGGTGCGAGATCAAAATTTTAGGCTCATTCCGGTATCGAAAAGGCATGCAGAGTTGCGATGGTCCGTTGCAGACCGATACAACCCCGTGCAGAGAATGGCTGGGGAATCACAGGAGAGCAACTGGAAAAATGCATTGTGGCGGTTTGCGTTCTGATGCTACATCAGAAGTCTCTGGATCTCCTATCTTTCTTTTTGGCGAACAATCTATGACTAATCGTTCGCCTATAAAGAACATACGAGATTTACAGCTTTCATATTATCTTCACCTTTCAATGCATCGATAAATTTCTTGTCTCTTATGCCAATTCAAAGAGCGATGCGTTTAAGAACACCTTTCATACTTTTATGCAACAAGTAAGTGGCAGCTGTTCAGAGAGATTCTTTGAAAGTCAAAAATCTGTTTATGAGAAGAAAGAGATCCCGTAGGTGGACAAAATTCTTCAATTATTTTCATCGCAAGAATACTTCTCCAGCGAATTTGCATTGAAACTTCCAGCTATGCTTGGCAGATTTTATGTGCTTCCTAGTATTTCTTCCTCTTGTTTTCTTCTTTGCGTCATATTTTGAAACGGAGAAAAATATAGGTTCACATCACCGCGTTGTAGTTTCTACTATAACAAAGTCCCAAGATTGGCGTATATATGAAGCATTATTAGCAATTTTCAAAAGAATCATGAAGCCACAATGAATTCCAATAGAAAGTATTGAAAAATAATTACATGCTGTCCAGCAATATGGAACATGACTTCAAGACCTTTGCTCAAACAGTACCTCTTTGCATGCGGTAAATTCACCAGCCCTCATATTAAAAAAGTTTTATGAAGCGAACTTTTAAAAATGTCAAATTTTTGTAACAATAACATTGTCATAAACCTTTATTCTACAAAACACCTCAAAAGTAGAATAACTTTGAGAACTCAATTTAGGACATCAAGAAAGGCCTAATTCCCACTCATATCCACTGCACACTGGGGACCTCCGCTACTGGTGCTGAGGACTTATTGGATAGTATCTGGCCTATAGCAGAGAAGTATCGCTATGATTTCTTTCTTTGATAAATGAGTCTATGGTCAATTTTCAGATACGACATGTGGCTTCATTGTGATGCATCCTTTTCTGGTAACGCTTGGATTGATGAAAAATACAGAGCAAACACGTAAGAAGTTCTGATCGTTATAAATTTTTCTTATTCCACAATTTCTGCAAGTAAAAACCATTTAGTAGATTCAAATAGTAAAGAAACCGAATTTGCTATTCTTTTTCCTCACAGCTAAAAAAATTATTCATATCATTTATTATGTTCTATTCAAACAAAAAGACTAGTATTATTCTCTTTTGCGATCAAGTAGGGTTGAACCTCTTGTTTGAAACCAACAAGGAAAGGGTGTCGAGTCGAAGTGGCCTTTCCAGATGAGACCCATACTGCTCTGAAGTGTATTAAACGGTGATTCCAAATCTGCCTTCCAAATCTGCCAAGCGCCTCTGGACGCCGAGTTAGACCGTTCTTCGGAACGAAAAATGAATGCAGAATTTAGGTAAAATTGATTGTTACAATCTTTCCAGCGCTCATATAAAGCAATTTTAAGTATTAGCATATTGAATAAAATGTATCCATTGCATAAAAAGTTCTGATACTCGACACTGGAGCATTTAAGCAAATTTGGGCGATTTTGCTTCAGTTTTGCGTTCAATTTTTTGACCTGAAAAACGAGCATAACTCGGCGTCCAGAGGCGCTTGGCAGATTTGGAATCACCGATCAATGCCCTTCAAAGCTGTATGGGTCTCATCTGGGAAGGCCACTTCGACTCGACACGGTTCCCTTGTAAGCTGAGAACTTTGTGATAGTAACAAACATTTGTACTTGATGCTCCTGAAGAAAAAGTAGTCATTGAGAGGAGCTGAACATCTTTCCAGGAAGTCGCTCGCTCATGTCCATTCACTCAACGTCAACTTGCATAAGTTTCTGCTGTTTTCGGGCATGACATGCCTAGTGTGGACGAGATTTAGACATATTTACAAGGACGCCTTCAATACTGCTTCCTTCCAGAACTTCCCTCTGCAAGGTTTGTCAAAGTAATCGGAACATGTTCCAGTATCAATAGAAAACTTTGAGATCGATGATTGGAGAAATATATGCGCTATTTAATTTTAGTTGATCCAAAAATTCACTATGTGTGAGAAATCCCAACTCTGCTTAACATTGAATCTAGATCTCTTTAGCATATTGACTATGTATACGATGAATTTTGCCAAGTAGCGGTTTTCTTGCGAAACTACGGTAGGTATACGGCATGTCACCTGCCCTATCGAGAAAAGCCTTTAATGCACAACCGATAACACTGTAACCATTATGCTAACGAAAATTCCCAAAAAGTTCCTTGAGAAGAGGGTAAGACGGAAATTTTTTTTGAACGATCGATCTCTTATCATTAATAAGCTCTCCAAGAGCGACGCGAATGTTTTACAAGTAAATATAGAGAAAGATGAAGTTAGGGTCCTAATGGTTTTTCTATAGATACGACCGATATGCGTGACTGGGGTATTCACGTGAGCCGCAGAAACAAAGCCTTAAAGATATGGATGTCGGTGCGACTGAATGGTCTGGAAGGACTGCGATACTATCTCAACTATGTATGGCTAAAATACTCATTTTGGCGCTCTTTTCTTATTGTAAGCACTAAGAAATTTTAGACGGTGGAAATGTGTAACTATTTCGAGTCTCTGGTGGCGAAGCACCCATTGCTCAAAATTTTTTCAAGAAGGCTAGCTTTTTTCACTTTTTACTATGAGGTAGAATAAACACCCACAGAGCTTGAGCGGAAATTTTAAGCTTTTTGAGGAACCGGGGAGCTCTAAGGAGGAAAATAACAAATACACGGAAGATCTCTGTCAATTCATCAATCAGTCTCATATGCTTTTTGTAGCTCCTACCAGGGTGAGTATATGGATTACCAGGCTTGCTGATTAAATTTTTTGAGTTTTAAGGTACACGACATCAATTTGATACGAATATGTATTTCGTACGAGCGCACAGATCGAAGTGTTGTTGACGAATCGTGGAACATATTGAAAAATCTTGTTGATGAATTTACAAATAGGAAAAGTACGAGCTTTCTCCAGCCTGCAACATTATATGAGAGACGTGATGCTTATCTTTAGATGACCCATATCTGCTACAAACAAAAATGGTTGCTCCAATACAACGTTATAGAAGACCAGCAAGACCAAGCCGCCTAGATTACGCCATTTCTCAAATTCCATGATGTTCATGATTGTAAGTACGAATTCTTCTCCAAATTTCTGAATATTTTCTTCTCAAAATTTCACTTCTCCTTTGAGTACGTACAAGTTTTCAGATTATTTTCGAAAAAAGCTGAAGTGATAACGTGTTTTCTACAAATCGGTGCACAAGTGAACAAAGTAGTAAAGTAGTAAAGTAACGCTCTGTTTAAGTTGCTTGTGTTCAATAAATTAATTTTTTGATATATGAAGATTTGGCCTTTTTAAGCGAAGGTACCTTTTTCACAAAACACATCTCAAGTAGTTCAACCGACAAAATGCCGAGACTGATACGGTTCGGGTGTTTTATGTTCGGTAAATTGGTTTGCATATCAGTACTAACAAGGAAACGATACTTGATATCCGTGGCCTTTTGAGATGAAACGTATACCATCACATTCGTCTTTGAACGCTGATTCTGAATCTGACTTCCATTTCTGCTAATCGTTCCTCTAGAAGAAGTTATGAAGGATTTTCGCGCCAATGGTCACCTAAGAGAAATACGTTCGAGGATGCCCAACTTCCAAAAAGAAGTTTGATTGAGGCAATGCAAAACTGAAAACCACGAAAGTACAACTGAGCTCATAACTCGGGTGGAAAAAACGGGGTGCGGCGTATTATCCGCGGCGCAACCGTCGAAAGGTCATAACTGCGTTCAAAATCATTTTTACAGGTTTTTCTGCTCATTTTTGGAAAGCTACTGACACAAGGAATCAGAAAAATATAAAATTTTCCAAAATCGCATGTTCTCAAGAGAATCAGCACTATCGCGACGGAATTGCCAAAGACAAAACCGTCGCATGGTCGTAACTCGATTTAAAATAGGAGTTTCGGATTTCTGGCTGTATTTTTGAAATAACGACATCATAGTGGTTGGAAAGACACAACAATTTTTGAAAATACACTTTTTTGGAAGATTTTAGCAGATTTGCGATAGAAAAATCGCGACGAAACCGTCGCAATCGCATAACAACTTGGAAAAATAATTTTTTTGACTTTTTGTTCTAGTTTAACTTTTCTGACGTTGCGACGATTTCCAGCATATAAGATTTTTGAGAAAAATTCTTATCCTCCGTGGGTTTTGTGAAGCTGCGACGGAATAATCGTGACGAAACCGTCGCATTGCGTTTGCGGTCCTGAAAGTGATCTTTTTTTATTCTAACTTCAATATCAGAATCCAGGATATTCGCTGACTCCATCAACTTGTGTTTACAACAAAATGGCCTCCGTGGAGAGATTGTAGTGCGATGCGACGGTGAAATACGCATTTGAGCGTCGTGCACTCATAACCTCAGGCAAGTGCACAAATATCTCAATTGTTCGCTGAATTCGATTGTATATGAAAAAAAGATAAGCAAAGGTGAGTTTTTTATACAATGAACTCGAACTATTACTCAAGATTGCGCAGCCGGGCCAAGCATCCAGCGAAATTGCACATTTGGGGAGGAATCTCGATCAGAGGCACAACACAGCTGGCGATTCTTCCAGGAACATGTAGAATCAACGGAGAGATGTACTGCCGGATTTTGGAGAAATGCTACGTACCTTTTGTCAAAAAGAATCATAATGGTAAGAGTAGATTTAAAATTGCATTATTCAAAATGACTTTGCATTTAGGGTTTGCAAGATTAGTTCAAGATAACGCGCCGGCACACAAAAGTCGGTATACCCTTAACAAGCTGCAAGAGTGGAACTTAACGACATTGGACTGGCCAGCTGAATCGCCTGACTTGAATCCTATAGAACTTGTCTGGGGCAATATGAAAAATTATATCAGGTTCTTCCTTTACGTTGTGAATTAACTAAATAAATGTTTCTATTTCAGAGGGAAGAATGTGAAGAACCTAGAAGAGTTGAAGGTCGCAATTATACAGTACTGGAAGACTCTAACGCCAGAAGTTTGCCGAAAGTATATCATGGGAGTCCGAAAGAAGTTGCATCGGGTCATTGAGCAGGGTGGCAGAAATATAATCGAGAAGCGATAGTTTTCAAAATTTTGATTGTGTAATTTTATAGAAAGATATATTGATTGTGTAAAGCATTTTCACTGTTACCTTAATTCAATAAAATTTTCTAATGTTTTCTCTTGTTTCATGAGAAAAAAACCCAGTTTCCAAAATTCAAAAAAAAATCCGAAAAAAACCCCAAAAAAGCCATCAAGGCAAACAAATGCAAAATACTCGGCCAGATTTCACAATATTTGCTCGCTAGAAGATTTACGAAAAAGACCCAAAAATTATGGAAGAGTGACATTGCAACAAACTCCTTTGAGGAAGGAGATGGAGACAAGATTCTAAAATGTTTACGATTATGCTGATGCAGAAAGAGAATATTTTCTGGAGTCAAAGTATATAAAAATGTATAAAACCAATAAATGTAATGTGTATGGAGTATCTTCTCCTTCTCGTTCTTATATATCGTTTTCGTGGTCATTCTTGAGGTGCGAAAATGCCTGGGCCGCGGCAGTGCGGTAGGTGTGAAGACGCGCCGTGACCTAGGTTAATTACCCAGGAATAGAGACCGCACCGCCAAGAAGATTCAAAATTGAAGTTTGATAATTTTCGTTATTGTATGAAGAGTCTAGATAATTAGAAACCATGATATGATTTTTACATAATTTGAGTGCATCTGCACCCAAGTCATATCGAAATAATGAGATAACTAAAGTAGCAGTTTTCTCCCTTCACGTTTCAACAAAGAGTGCCATATATTTGAAGAGCTAATCAATGCGCGAATCAGAATATGCAAAAATTGTCAAGTTCGGGCAATTTTCAAAAAAAAAAAGAAATTTTGATGCTGAAAACTGCATTTACCAACTACATTTTTCGGATGCAGTGGCCTTGGATAGCTCCGCTGGTGGAACTATATCGACCTTCATGCACAGTACTACTACTGGTCAGAACTTCATTCATACAGAGTTGAAAAGTTACTATTTATAGCTTTTTGAAAAACCCTTGGTCTTCAATTATTTTGCAATTTTGCTTGAGGGCCGTACTTCAACAGCTGATATCTCAACAAATAATCGCAACAGGTATTTTTCATGCAGATTTCGTGTACAACACCATTTACAGAATATATGGTGTAAACTTCTTGAGCAGAGCTCGTAAGCTCTGCTAATTACGAAGCTTTGATTTTCGCACTTCGTACGTCATTACATAATTTGTATGACTGATGATTCGGTGAAAAAACCCTTCACTGTACAAAAAACTCATCTTTGCTTATCTTTTTTTAATATACAGTCAACTTCAGTGAACAATTGAGATATTTGTACACTTGCCTGAGGTTATGAGTGCGCGACGCTCAAATGCGTATTTCACCGTCGCATCGCACTCCAATCCTTGCACGGAGGCCATCTTGTCGTAAACACAAGTTGATGGAGTCAGCATATGTCCTGGATTCTGATATTGAAGTTAGAATCAAAAAAAGATCACTTTGAGGACCGCAAACGCACTGCGACGGTTTTGTCACGATTATTCCGTCGCTGCTTCACGAAACACACGAAGGGTAAAATTTTTTCTCAAAAATCTTATGTGCTGAGGATCATCGTAACGTCAAAGAACCCAAACTAGAACAAAAAGTCAAAAAAATTATTTTTCCAAGTTGTTATGCGATTGCGACGGTTTCGTCGCGATTTTTCTATCGCAAATCTGCTAAAATCTTCCAAAAAAGTGTATTTTCAAAAATTATTGTGTCTTTCCAACCACTATGATGTCGTTATTTCAAAAATACAGCCAGAAATCCGAAACTCCTATTTTAAATCGAGTTACGACCATGCGACGGTTTTGTCTTTGGCAATTCCGTCGCGATAGTGCTGATTCTCTTGAGAACATGCGATTTTGGAAAATTTTATATTTTTCTGATTCCTTGTGTCAGTAGCTTTCCAAAAATGAGCAGAAAAACCTCAGGCTGTTGTTTTTCTCAAAGGGTTGGGCTCTTTTCTGTAGTCGATGAGGTGTTTGATCGGATAGTTTGCTTATGTGTCTTCGACTTTTTCAGACTCTGAAGAAGGCGAGTTCGCCGAAACGTTAGTCTGTTATTCTGTGCGATAAAGTTCTGTACCAATCTTGGATTACGCTCAAGCAATTAACGAGAAGATTGCAACTATGCCAAGATTCATGGATAGTCGAACATGGATGCTTAAGAAAAACCTGTAAAAATGATTTTGAACGCAGTTATGACCTTTCGACGGTTGCGCCGCGGATAATACGCCGCACCCCGTTTTTTCCACCCGAGTTATGAGCTCAGTTGTACTCCATCCTAAACCTGCATTAACTTGCGAGGCTATTGCACTAGCCACTACACCACATCTTAACGGCGGTTTTGTCATTCCAACCACATCTCCTTTGCCGCGAAAATCCTTTATAACTTTTTTCGGAGAAGCGATTAGCAGAAACGGAAGTCAGATTTGGAATCAGCGCCTCAAGGCGAGTCTAATGGTATACATCTCATCTAAAAAGGCTACGGACACCGAGTATCGTTTCCTTGTAAGCCCTATATTAGTCCGATTTTATCGCCTCAACAGGTACTCAGATTCCCTCATAGCTTGCGCAAGGCTGGACATCTAATTTCTGGCATCAACGTTTAACAACCTTGAAGTGGTCTTCACAGATAGTTGAAGAATACTATCCAATGCCCGCACAATTCGGTTTTTAGGTTTCTAGAATGGATTCCCCTTCGATTCCGTCAAAATTCTAAGAATTCACCTTCGACCGTTACTGGAAACCCTATAAACTTCTCGCTGGCGTTTTTACATGTACAATTCATATGTTATTGTATGCACGCATTGACAAGGGATAGGTCAAAATGGAACCGAGGAGCAGTCGGAGATTCTGTACAATTTGCCAGCCTAAGCCACTTCTAGATGTTCGTAATACCACACGGTTCTCGGTCCCTCCCAGATAGAGTGTTGCAAACGTGGGTAAAGGAGATATTCAAGATGGATTATGCAATCACATGAAAGCTGCATACGGCTTTGTAATATTGGAAAAATGCGGTACAAGTATATAAAAGAGGGAAAGCGAAATAACGCTCGTCCCTCTCTATTGTTAGAGAATTCTGCAGGAACTGACTCCAGACCCAGAGGCCCTGCACAGCTGGGATTGGGTCAAGTAGATATCGTTTCTGGGGAAAAAATAATCTCTTGCGGGATCGCGGAGAAGAGTCGCGAGCATGTCGTTAGCATGCCGCCCTCATGCTTGCGCCATTCAACCAGCACGCCTTACCCAATACAAACAAATGCGTTGTTTACAACCAAAACGCAATGACACGACACCAAATTTAGTGTGCTCATGCCTGTGAGGGTACTCAAAGTGGCCGAAATATCAAGTTATAACAAAAATTCTGCTGTTTCATTTTCAAAAATTTGAAACTTTCAGCTATCTCGACAGATTCTGCTTCTTTGTTATTCTGTCAAAAAAGAAGAATTCTTCCTGTTTGTAAAATAATCTTGGGGAGCTTCTCCTGTACAATCATTGCAGAAATGCAGAAAATGGAAACCATTCAGGCTTCGAGCAACTTAAGTTACGTATCGTGGCCAAAAATCTGGAACTTGCACAGAAAGCTGAAACCTTCAGCACAACAGTTCTACTACTCCTTGCAACTGCGAAAAAATCGTGCTGTTTGGACGGCTCTGCAAAAAAATTACGATTTTTCGCGAAAAAGTGACAAATTATCAGTTTGACTTTTTTTTGTAAACACGAAATTCAAGATTTTTCGCAGAAAGGTGCAAATAGCACGAACTTCTTTCGGGTGCAAAGAGCAGGTCATAAAACTATGTATTGACGATTCAAATCTTCCACGCTGCTTTGGCGATTCACTTAACATTATCAAAGCTTAAATGGTCTTCTTTTTTCATTTTTATCTCCGCAGTGAGTATAAAGTAGAAAAGCACCAAGAAAATTACAAAGAGGAAGACTTCCTCTTTTTATTCAAAATACAAAGAAGCAAATCCGTCGAGATAGTGAAAAGTTAAATTTTTTCAAAAGTGGAAAGACAGAACTTTCGGAACAGCTTAATATTCTCAAAAACTTACATGATCAAAAGCCCTGCTAAACTCCTTTCCCAGTTACCTAAAACCATTCAAGATGGATTCGAGGTAAGTCGAGACCGCCCTTTGCTCACATAATTTTTTAAACTTTTTAAACCGTTCCTTCACCGTGAAAGTTTTACTACGAGCAAAAAATCGTTTCACGGATTCCAAATGAGCGCACTTGCTCCTTAACATGCTGAAAAATTATGCAACTCGAAAACAATACACAAAGAAATATTCCGCATGCTTATCTTATCCATTAGGCCACAAGGCCAGGCCTAATGGATAAGGCGTCGGACTTCGGATCCGAAGATTGCAGGTTCGAGTCCTGCCAGGGTCGAAACTTTTGGTGGTACGAAGGCATAAGTCCGAATGTCATACTTACCACTTTACAAATTTGGCAATTATGGCGACTCATAGGGTACCATATTTGAGTGCTAAACACATTCAGCAAAAGAGAAGGGGGCACCCGGATTTGAACCGGGGACCTCTTGATCTGCAGTCAAATGCTCTACCACTGAGCTATACCCCCACGTCCTTAGAAACTCTGGTGATTTATAGTGCGCCACACAAACTGAATCTAGCTTTGAATTTCGGATTCCAAATGAGCTCACTTGTTCCCTAACATGCTGAAAAATTATGCAACTCGAAAACATTACACAAAGAAATCTTCCGCATGCTTTGCTTCGCAAAATACTCTCATGTGGCCTTGTGGCCTAATGGATAAGGCGTCGGACTTCGGAGGTTGCAGGTTCGAGTGTTGCAAGGTTCCCTTGCAGATTCGAGTCCTGCCAGGGTTGATACTTTTGGTGGTACGAAGGCATAAGTCCGAATGTCATACTTACTATTAGGTTGTTACATAAGTCTTGTTACACTTTAACTTCTTAAGGCGGTAAGTCATGCACCTCATATTCTTTACAGGACTCCAGGGTACCATTCGATAGAGCAAAGCAATCT